AAGATTCTGTGATTCTGTGATTCTGTAAAGTTTTTTAATTCTCTTTCCATCATTTGTGATTTTAAGTAGAAAATGGGCTAAAAAAATTGAGAATTTTTTCTTAGTAAATGTCTAAAAGCTAGCAACCTATCCATGTTCTTCCTCCACTGTCTTTGACACCATGATCCCACGGGATCAAAGAAGAAATAATACACTGTTGTGCCAATTCATGTGATATCACTTGTGGTCAACCCTCGAACATCAGCATAAACATTTCCACCAGGAAACCCAGCTTTCCCAGGATTTGCTATGCTCTGGGAAAGGGAGGTAATGTTGGAAAAAAGAAGAGTCGTTTGCGTTGAAGAGCAATGGAGAGAGGTACCAGGTCTGCACATCAAGCAGATAAGAAAGTACTACCTGAACTCCTCCCTGGCCCAAGGTCAGGTTGGATGGGGCTTTGAGCAGCCTTATCCAGTGAAACTTGTCCCTGCCCATTGCTGGTGGGGGAGTTGGATTAGATGATCTCAGAATGGTCCCCTCCAACCAAACTATTCTGTGATTCTATGATAAATCAGAAAGGTCTGGGATAAAATCCTAAATTGCAACCAGCTCTGGCTCCCATGTCAGTGAGAGAGCAGGAGAAACCATGCTGCTGGAAACACCAGTCTACACCAGTAAGATTACTGGGATGTCAGCATGCAGTCCTACACACTGAGGCACCCACTGCTGTTCTGAGGAGCTATAATGATTAGTAATTCTGCCCTGTCTGCATTTATGACTGGTCTGAATTTCATGGACAATTTTCATAATCTGTGTCATAATTACAAAAATGGCAAATAACTTTTTAATATCAATGTTAAAAAATAGGCAAATCTTTCTCAGCATTTTTATTGCCAGTTTACAATCTCAAATCAAATGGTTTACAACTTTGTGTTCTGAAAATATACAACATAAGAAAACACTAGTCTGGCAAAATTATGCTTTTATGATAATGACAGGGATGAGTTATAGTTACTCTAGTTAAACTGTAATGGCTGCACAGATGCTAGAAAAAAGCTATTGTACATGTTTTGCCACAGTAAACATGGCACCTGCTAGCTCCACCATGGTACATATAGGAGCATGTTAGCGTTTCTTTATGGATATTTTCAAGGATGATAATTGGACCATAAACATTCACGTGGGAATAAAATATAAGTATCCAGGCTTTAAAAAATACCTTGAGAAATAGTCGGCTTTGCATATTTGGATTTCAGAAGCAAGTTTATGAGAGACAATGTATAATTAGTTTCTGATCTTGTAGGACTCAAAAATGGTCTGCATTCTTCTTATGATCTATATGAATCTATAGCAGGTGAATTTAGTGATATTTACAGAGCCAGAAACTAAATCTTCCAGCCCACTTCTGGCTATCAGGAAATAATATTCATCCACAGATTATGTGTTATACAAATGACAATGGCGGGAGTTTCCTACATATCATGACAGACTGCCCCTGCACCACTCACTCATGAGATGCTGCTCAAGGACACCAGCACAGGTTGTTATGAACCACCTCCATTTGCTGAATTCAGTCTCACAGACCAGCCGCTGAGGTGGAAATTTAATCTAAGTGCTATTTTCCACTGAAATGGGTGAGAAATACAGTTGCCATGAGCTCTTGCACAGTCAGTAGAGCGAACTCCCAGTCGTAATGCATGCTATAGATGTGCTGAACATGGGCTAGCTGATCACACTCACCATAGGAAGAAAATACAGCAATGAAGGTAAATAACATTGCTAGATGTATGACACTACAACCATTTGCTCTACTTCCCATTTCAGGAAACTTTATCTATTTTATACTGTCAGTAAATATGTGAGGATTTTGGTCAAAGTGTATCGTCTGACATTCTTAGCAAGGCAATTTTCATAAACAGAGTATGAAGAACTGAAAAAAAAGGCGTTAACAGGTTGTGTAAAACCAGAGCCAACTAACCCAGTTCTGCTTTTCAAAAATTGTTTTTAATCAGAAGCAAAACTGTCTGAATTACTGGAATCTCAGCAAGGCAAAACACCTCCAAAGAGAAGAACCACAGCTAAAAATCAAAGTGGACATTTCCCAAGTTTGTGGCCCAGCATCTCCTATAAACTTTCTTAGTCCAGCTGGACAGAGTATAAATGAAGATCAGATTTTATATATTTCACTCTCCACCACTGAACCTGCTCAGCTTTACTCAGTATTAAAGCCCTGCTAACACCTCAGGCAGCAGGAGCTGACCCTTTGTATTATGTCCTCCTCTGCAGTGGATGCCTCATGCATATGCCTATTGATGTATTTTAGAGTGTAGATAATTTTTTTCTTTTGGGTATCTGCTTTGGCTTCATATTCCCAAGAAAACACCTCTTGTATCTATTTTTTCGTATTTTTTTATATTTTTCCCTACTCCCTGCTATAATGTATTGTTACATTTCATAGGAAAAGCTTTCTTATGTCCATCTTTGTCAAAACTCCAGGAGCCACTTAAGCATCACTTTAAAGGGCTCTTTATCACTTGAATGAATTTTCCCCTAATTGTATCCTTTAACTCCAAAAGGGGTTTGGGGACATACTTTGTATGAAAGATGCTATGAATGAAAGAAGACAAAAGTTGCATTGCTAGTGGTTCTGCTTTTGTATTTCCATCCAGGTAACTCTCTGCACGCCAATTTGCTTTCTCTTTTCCAATACCCAGTTCCTCCTGCGGCTAGTTCCTGGGACAGAGCTGTCTTCAAATAATTTAATTATCATGTGGCATACACCTTTTTAGTCCCCCCGAAATGGTGTGTGATGCCTTTGGTTTACATCACTAGTTGGAAAACACTCCAAAGCATTGAAAAACTATTAAATTGTTACAGTATTGGATGCCAGCACACAGGGCTATTAGTCTAATTCATCCTTCAGATCAAAGCCCACACAGGCAGCTCTCCTGCCTACAGCTATTTTCCTTTTACTTTCCTGCTTGACAGTAGTCCCTCATATCCCTCTGTTCTACTTTCTTTGAACATACACATTTTCCTTTAGTCATGGAAATATAATTTATGTCTATTATACTGTATTATAGATTGAAGATCAGGACGAGCATGCATTACTGCTCGAAACGTCTGTTTATTGTATGTCGGGTTTCTAAAAATAAATAAATAAGAAAGCCACCCTGCCTTGCCGGGGAGAGAAAAATACGGAGGGGGTGGACTCAGGGGCTGGGGGGAGCCGCGCTCTGTTCTCAAAGTTTAATTTCCAAGTGTAGACCTTGAAGCATGATTTATTAACATCATGCTGTTTGCTTTTGTCACGTTGTGGATGTGGCGGGGGAAGCGCTGGCCCCTCTCCAGCCCGGACCACCCAGCGAGCTGAGCAGTGCTACCAGCGCTGCACACCCCGGTTCAAAGGTTCACCCCCAATTCACCAGCTCCATCAGTCACCAGCCGCCTGGCTCTGCCACCCCATTGGAGGCAACAGCAATAACAACACTAACAACCCCCCCCTTCCCTAAAAAAAATAATATCCTAACAGACGGGCTGTCTGGGACGCGAGAATTGCAAAAACAATCCCCACCCCATCACAGAGAGTGTGTGTGCACGGAGGAGAGGGAGCGTGAGGAGGGGGGAGAGAGGGAACGAGACAGACAGAGGGGAGGGAAGAAGGGAGGAGGGAGTCCAAGCTATGAGAAACATCACTCCATCTCTCTCACTCCACAGGAGCTGAGCAAGGAGCAGGACAATGTTCGACAACACGCAGTACCCCTATAACTGCTTTAATTACGATGGGGATGATTACCCTACCTGTAGTTCTGACGAAGAGAAAAAATTCACCAGACCAGCATACAGGTAAGATGAACTTTTTCCAAGTCCCTCCACCTCTGGGGAGGTTTCTCAGCTTTGGGATGGTGGGTTCACAGCTCTTGGGGAAGCGTGGGACCTCTCCCCGGGTGTGCTCAGTGGGGCTGGCCCCTACACAGGCACCGTGGTGGGCAGATTTCCCCCCATTTCTGTGTTTGAAGTGTTTCATGGCTTTTTTTCTTCTTCGGTGGGGTGGCAAAAAAAAACCACCAGACCTCAGATGATCTCCTCCGACCCCTGGGAGCCGTGGGAGAGGGGACATTAAATGTATGTCGTGCCAATGGGTGAATTGGGAACAGATAATCCCTGGTGCGGTGGGAAGATGTGCAGCCTAGATGCTTGCAGGGGCAGATAAGGTCCTTTCCGTGAGCAGGAAAGATCTCCAGTGGCAGTGTCTCTGAGCCTGGTCTGTCTCACTGCAGCCTCCCAGCTCAGGGAAACTTTTCTGACAGGGCTGGGAGGTGAGTGATGTCTCTGTAACCCTCCCGTTTCAAAGCACTCTCCACTGTGTGCCAGAGCAAACAGCACGGTCGGGACTCCATTGCTTGGCACTAACACGCGTGTGCCACTCCTGAGCTCGAGCAGAGAGGCAGGACCATGCTCAGGGCTTACCCCTGGGATGTCTCGGGTCAGGACGCAGATCCACCGGGAGAACTTCTGGAAGCAGGACATAGGCACACATGTACCCATGTGGTCCTAAGAACTAAGTGTGTCAGTAAGGTGATGGTTTAACGGCAAGTTTTCCTTTTTTCAGCTACATTGCCTTAATTGCCATGGCCATCCAGCAAAGTCCTTCAAATAAAGTCACCCTCTCTGGCATTTACGACTTCATAATGAAGAAATTTCCTTACTACAGATCAAATCAAAGAGCCTGGCAGAACTCCATCCGACACAACTTATCACTTAACAGCTGTTTTGTAAAGGTAAGATCAGTAACTGTATATTTACATACACACTGTGCATGGCTAAAAAACCTCCATATATGCAGGAATAATCTCATCACTGGGAAAGAAGGGAAACAAACAGCTGAGCTGTGAATCACTTGAAGTCTCACTGAGTTGTCAATTATAGAGATAAAGAGTATGTCGTTGTCTGATGTGTGCTAATAGATAACAAATTGAAGAGGATGCCGCTTACATCCTATTCGTATAATGAAAGGGAATAAGCTTAGCAGCCTTGTCATGTGTGTTTACACCATTCTTGAATGTAAATGAATGCAGATGTTCAGCAGCAGCATCTGTAACACATACAAATACTGAGCTGCCTTTAAATAAATACAGGTTCCCAGAACAGAAGGGAATGAGAAGGGAAAAGGAAACTATTGGAGCTTTGCAACGGGATGTGAATCCATGCTGGATCTCTTTGAAAATGGGAATTACAGGCGAAGACGGAGAAGGAGGAACTTGAAAAGGGAACATAAGGAGCAGAGACCAAACAGAGGGAAAAGTCCTTCATCCCCTGAGATGTCTTCTGTGGACTCTGCTTTAAACAACATTTCCTCTTCTGAAAGTAAACATGAAAGAATTGAATCGGGACCAAGACTACTTGAGCCTCGTGGGTTTGCTCCAACCAGCACGACCAACAGGCAGAGCCTAAGCAGTTCCTCCTTAGCAAAATCGGATTCTGAAATTAAATTCAGTATCGATTACATTCTTTCAGCCCCCGACCCATTACCTGTCCTGAGATCTCATAATATGCAAGAAAATAAATATCATCTACTGGAGGCCCAGCAAATTAATCTCCAGTTCTGGACAATGTGATGTTATTCATTCATGGTAACAAAGTCCGAGCTGCAATGTATTCAGCAGCCTCATGTCACTGAAAATCAGCTGCCTGCCTCCTTGTTTTATTCCCAAGCAGTACTCGGAAAGGGTTTCCAATTCACCAGCTGATACTCTGTCCGTACTCAAAGAACTTTGCTAAAAAAAAAAAAGAAAAGAAAAAAGCGTAAATAACAGTTTTCAATATCGGTTTTCACTATGCTGAAATTCATTAAATTCTAGCTTTGTTTTCAAAACTGTCGTGGACATCATTTAACACCACAAAGAATTTCCTTTATCAAGCCGGAGAGATTTTGCTTTATTAAAGACAAAGTGAATTTGATTCCACTTTTACTGGTGGAAATTAGGATTAATTCCACTGAAGTATATAGGTCAGACCTTAAGCTGATCTAAAACACTGTAATTCTGCCAACTTAACACTGGCTGAGAATGTGAGGGGGAGATTTTGTTTTCTTAAAAGGAATCACAGAAAATCACCCTGTCTTCCCTTATTTTTATTTTAACATCATGTTTCAAACTGTTTTGCATCTTTAATTCATCTTGAATTAGAAAATGTAGTTATTGATAAATGTTTAAAGTATATTTTTGTTGATATTCAGGGCAGAGTTGTTTAAACCATTGAAGTGAAGTTGTATTCAAAATAATTGCAAGAAAGATATTTGCAAGGCTGTTGAACTTTGTTAGACTTTAATGGGTAATGTAACAGAAGCACAGGGCTTTTTAATGCCTTGGTTTAAAAAAAAAAACCAAACAACTCATGTCTTCCTTTGTACTATCAGAAAGTTTCCTGAGATGCTGCAGGAAAGTCCTTGAACATATTCATTTAGCAAGTGTGTAGGGAGACCAGCTTTGCAAGAAGCTGTATCCAGGGGTGACCAAAGCTAGCATTCCACCTGCCTGCTTTGAGACAAGTTGTATATTCCTATTAAATAGATTTTTATTGATCCTTCCTGCAAGCAATTACCAAAGTGGTACTTGATACAATTTCAGCAAAGCTGGTGAGATTGGTAATTTACAGATAGCGATGTTAGATCATGAGCTCCATTTCTTAAGGAAGCCGTTTCATTATAATTTACACGTGGCGGGATATTTCAGAATAGAACCTGATGAACAATGATGAACTGGAATGAGCATATAGTAACTTGCTTTTATACATCTTGTTCATGATGAATTGCTTCCCAGGACTTGACAGCACCATTAGTAAAAACTCCACAAAATCTTGGTTTTGGCTTGGCTATTGAAGTTAAAAGAAAAAAGAGAAGTGTTCTGGTGTTTTTAAGCAATTATATACAGAGAGATAAAATTATCTTTGCAACATGAAGTAAAGGTAGATGAAGGTATATGAGATAAGATTAAGCAAAATTGTGCTAGAGGTATGCTCAGGCATGACTTGAATTTTTATGCAGAAGCTTTGACATTTCACTAAGTTATTTTACATTGTGTCTAATATATACTGTACATTTATACTATATATTCTTATATATTGTTATTGAGAAAAGGAGCAATATCACTGCACTTATATGTTGTAAAAATGCATGATGTATGTTGTCATGATCCTGAAACTCCTGCCATATACTTAAAATTTACCATCAGTGGTAATTCACACTGATTGGTAATAAATGCTCATTTTTTTGAAAACTATAAAACTTGCTATCTTCAGGCATTTCCTTAGCATGAGAAAGACTTCTTCAGAAACGACAAAATAGAAAATCATGCCAGTTGCATCACTGCATGACTTCCGAACTTTGAAAGGATAATTTCTTGTGACCAAATTCTGCCTTCAAATGGGAGCTTTCACTTCTCTGTTAATCAATAGTTATTCTGGGTAATTATTGGAAAGCAAAATTTGACTCATCAGGCCTGATCGATCTGCTGTCTACATTGGCGTTACAAAAAGAAGAAAACCTTTGGTGTCACCAGGCAGATGGATTCTCATCTGAAGAGGGACAAGAATTTACTTCTTCAGTATTTATGCTCAGTAGTAAATAGGTGTGGGAAGAGCATGTCCTCATCTAGTGCATCAATGTATGCATGCACTTACATGTGGGTTGGTATGTGTGCTTCTCTAGGATCCTACCTGCATTTATATATTCATGCTTTATATGCAGATTTTTTTTCTTGGTTGTTTTAAACATGGCAATGCTGCTGTTAGGCTGACATCTGCGGTATATTTGAAATACATTTTTTTTTCTGTGAAATGTGTGAATGTGATTCTTCCTATGTGTTCTTTGTTAACACTGTTAGCAAAAGATAACTCAATGACAGCAAAAGTTCCTGCTAAGCTGGGTGAACACAGTGGGCTGCTGAGGCCAGTGGAGGTACAGTTATGGCTACTAAGCAATATAGAATAAATGTATTAGGAAAGGCAGAAATACACCCAAGTGAATTTACAGCACAGATCCAAAACCATTTTCAGTAAGATGAATTAATATTCACAAATAGCCATGTCCTTTGCTCACACTAAACTGCCTGCTAGGAAAGACTGTCATACTTGAGTTTCCCCAACATATAATCAAAGAAATTTGTGTACAAATAGGTGTTAACATTTGTTTTGCAAAGGATATCAATCATATTTCAAAAAGTGAAGGGACATATTTCAATTTACTCAGTATATTATATTCTGACAACTCCAGAAAGGTTTCCAGCACTTAAAGTGAATGGCATTTAATATAGAACAACATAACAGGGGTGAGGGCTAGATGTGACCTTATTCAAATGTCGTAGCCATTACAAAGCCATTCCCAATGTAATTATAATTAAATACTTTATGCCTTTCTTGCAAATCCTCTGATCGATCATTGATATTAACATTAATATTGTATTACCCCCGAGCAAATGTCTCCCACACAAGTGTTATGGATCACCAGGTTTCCATTAACAAAGTTGTGAGCTATCACTGTATGCTGGTCGTGGATAAATTTACGTAAATTACCTTTTCTCAGGAAAAGGGGGAAAATGTCTCCGTTTCTTTCTTTTTTATCCCTGCACTCTGAGTCTAGAGCTATTTCCTCAGCTCCATCACAGCATGTCAGCCACTTACATGAAGTCTTGACAAAAAAAAAAATAAAATCTCACAGAAACTTCCCTCATTGCCCTGTGTTGAAGCAGATGGATATTCTCCAGACATAGCTACTTTGGCACACGGGTTAAAAACCGAGTTGAAGCCAGGGCTGAGCTTTGCGAGACAGGGGTCTGCACCCCACCAAGGACATCACTGGGCTGGTTGGGCTGTGCATGGCAGCCAGTTTGGCTCAATTCCTCATCTCCATGGGTCTTCCTGACAGCAAAGACAGACCCAGAGTGAACCATGGGTATCCTAACTCCAAAAGAGTTGCTTCCTCTGGGGGGCTGATGCTGCCTGTCCCAAGCCGGGATGAAGCAGGAGTCAGGAGTGGGAGAGCAGCTCCTCTCAGCCTGGCCGGTGGGCAAGGCTGGGGGAGAACAAACCTTTTGTCCTCCTCTTTTACAATCATAAATACCTTCACAAGGAAAAGATGAAAGGTGTCTTTCTGGGGAGAATCTAAGCTCATCTTCACTGAGGGACCCCGGGGTGTTTTGTTTATTCATCCTATTAAAGGAAGGCTTCCCATGAAAAAAAATGAAATATTTTGTTGGAGCTATGCCAGGTTATTCTTCAGTGATTTGACTTCTAATGGTTTAATTTCTTAGGCTTTTGTCATTGGTGTCACAGAAGTGGTTTTTGCACAGCAAGATGATGCTCTCTCCCAGAATGAAATTCAAAGTAATTGGGCAGGGATGCAGCACTTTTTTCCCACACGACCAGTGAAAAGAGGCCACATAACACCCAGCACGGGCCAGAGGTTGACCTCACCTATGGGAACCTCTCTCTCAGCAGAACCTTCTTCTCATTATGGGAGCATTAATGCAAATTGAGATAGCTGAAAACAAACCTTTTTTTTGTCAGTAAAGCCAAGTTCCCCTATTTTTCTGCCAATCAGATAGATCCTATTAGTTGAGACCCATTAACTCCCCATATAAACAGAAGCTGTGTTCAAGGAGCATTTGAAGGTCAAACCATGCTGGAGAGCTGGCTCTCCCCACGCCTCTGCTTTGTTGTCCTCCGTCTGGTTGCTTGGGCTGCCACAACCTTGCTCAGTCGCGCAGCAGGGTGGTCCTCAGTTACCTTGCAGAGCAATTCACATGCTTCCTCAAAGCAGAATCAAGATTTTTGCACTATTTTCTGGTCACAGAGGGTTTTTCTTTTGCATAACAATTGCTTGTTCAGGTTCAAATCTCATGTGTCCTCTCTACTCTTTACCGATAGAGGGTACATGCTAGGAGGGAAAGGGGTTTGGAGGGCCAAGCCTTGGGGAAAAAGCTCTGCTATATGTCTTCTATATGTAGTAGAGAGCTGGTTGGGACTTCTCAAATGGTACAGTGGAAGGGCCCTTGGGGTTGTGTATCAAGTCTCTGTGCTGTATATCGAGGGCAGCATCTCCCCAGTGTCCCACCACACTCAAGCTCAGGCAAAAGAGGGAAACCAGTCCACATGCCCTAAGCAAACAGGGCTTTAATCTTCACCTCTGGCAGTGTAACACAAATCCCTGCCTGGGATCAGCATTTCAGATCCCAGGACACAGAAATCCTGCACTGCTCATTCCAGCTGGCCTCTCCCCTCTCTGTCTCCTCTGGGGTGTGTTCTCCTCCCCACTGTGCGGGTGTAAATCCTTGCAAATCCATTAAATTTGTTACAATTACTTTTGGAATTGAAATAGCACATGTGAGACTGAACTTCGCATGTTATACCCAATGTCTCTACTCACACAGTCTGCCAAACTCTGCCAGCAACTCATGTCCTAGATAGAATTCTCAGAGCAACAAATGGTCCTGCCTCTTAATTTTGCCTCAGCATCCAGCTTCTAATGGCTTTCTCCAGAACATGAGTACCACGTGCACTGCAATGCACAAAGAACCCAGTACTTACTCTCTGTCTCTGTTTTACTGGGAATGTCTCTCTT